CTCATTTAAAACCACTGGTTCTAACAAACATAAGAGAATAAATGAACAAAGCAGTACCTCTTACAATAGTAACCCAAAGTACTGGTGCCATCTAGTGAAATCTTCCTATAGCACTCAGTGGCATTCTTAGGAAGCTACCGTTTTCTATGATCAAGGCACTCTGATACAAAATGTTTAAAATACACTACAGAGATATGAGAGTATTAATGAAGATAGCTGATTTCATTAAAATTAAAAGCATCTTCTGGCATATTTTCACTATCAAACACAGAGTCAGACAACTTGGAGTCATGTCTTGGATCTCACACTTAATAATAATGCTTATTCAGTGGTGTCTGACTCTTCCTGACCCCAGGGACCACATAACACAGCAGTGCTGTCCATGGGGTTTTCTTAGCAAAGATATTGGAGTGGTTTGCCATTTCCTTCTCCAATGGATTGAAGCAGAAGTTTAGTGACTTGCCCAGAGTCACACATCCAGTATGAGTCTGAGGCCAGATCTGAACTCAGGTCATCCTGACTCTATCCACTCTTTCTGAGCCACCTAGCTATCTCCAATGGTGGACATTTATAAAGCACTTTCCAGTTTGTAAAATGCTTTGGATACATTTTCTCATTGGAGTTTCATCACTAACTTATGTGGTTAGTATTCCAAGTATTATAATTCCCATTTTAGAGATAACGAAACTGAGGCTCAAAGAAGGTGAGTAACTTTTCCATGCTGAAATACTAAAGCATCCTGTTCTAGGCCTTGGTATTCAAAGCCCTCCATGCTCTAACCTTCACATACCTCTGATTACTCCCCTATACATAACTTTACATTCCAATATAACTGGGATGGTAACTTTTCTATTAACATGCTCTGAGTTTTCCTACCTCCAAAGTCCTTGCTTTTGCTATTCTTTCCATTTAGAACATCCTCCTACCACCTTTATCTATCAAAATCCTTCCCGTCACTCAAAACTCACTTTAAATAGCCTCTTTCAATTTAACAAGCATTTATTATTTGCACCTGTTAACTGGAAGGCACTGTTCAAGGACCAGAGACAAAGACAAAATAAAAAAATAGTATCTGCCTTCAAAGACTTACTACTTAGTACTCTCCTCTACCTGGAGGTGGGGGTGGAAATACAGTTAAATTGATAAATGATTATTTGAGAAGGGAAAGAATATTAACTAGAGAAATTAGAAAAGGCTTTCTACAGAGGTTATAGCACATAAGTTGAACCTTGGAAAGAAGTCAGGGATTCTCATAAGCAGAGGTGAGAATACATTCCAAGCATGGGAAACAGAAGTAATACCTATAGTTCAGGAAATAGCAAGTAAAAAGAGTGCATCAATCAATCAATCACTAAGCATTTATTCAGTAGCTACCATGTACCAGGTACTAGGTTTAGGACTGCGATTATAAAGACTAAAGTGAGACAGGATTGCCTGTAATAGAGACAAAGCCAGAGACAGAGAGAAGAGAGCACGTCTATACATAAACACACACACACACACACACACACACACACACACACACACACACACACACACACAAAATGAATACAAGATAGCTTTGGAAGGGAGAGTACTAGCAACAGGTGGATCAGGAAAGGGTTCATGTAGAAAATGGCACTTGAGGGGGGCGGAGCCAAGATGGTGGAGTGAAAGCAGTCACTTGCTTGAGCTCTCCCCCAAACCCCTCCAAATACCTATAAAAAAATGGCTCCAAACAAATTCTAAAATAGCAGAACCCACAAAAAGAGAGAGTGAAGCAAATTTCCAGCCCAAGACAACCTGGATGGTTGATCAGAAAGGTATACCACGCCAGGCGAGTAAAGAGCACAGTTCAGCGTGGGCGCACAGGCCACAGCAAACCTGAAGCAGGCCTCAGAAGACTGAATCGCAGGCAGCTGTGGTGGTTTCCACACTTCTTATCCCACTAACACCAAAGACAACTTAGAAGGTCAGTGGGGAAAGTCTGTTTCTGTGGTGAGAAAGAGAGAAGCTAGATCCCAGCTGCAAGTCCTGAGCATGGCCCCGAGGCAGCGGCTGCCTCCTGAGCTTCCAGCCCACAGACTGAAGGGAAATCAGGTGGCTGATCAGAAGGAATCTCTTTGCCAGTGCTGGGGAAGGAATCTCTTGCTTTGCCCGTGCTTGGATCCAGGTCACAGTTCTGGGTGGAGTTCCTGGGGCAAGGAGGAGTGCTGGCGTGGTGGAGCTTGTAGTGGCTGAGAAAGAAAATTCTCCTCACAGTTCCAAGGCAGAAAGGAGTACTTGTGGCCAAGCATACACCAGAGCACAGGCCAGGAAAAGAGTAAACACCTCACCCCTTATCATACCACCTTGGAAGAACTGAAAATTTACAGGTTCCCTAGAAGTATCTCTGAAAATGGCACTTGAGTTGAGTAATGAAAGAAACCAGTGATTCCAAGAGGCAAAGGTGAAGAAGGAGAGAATTCTAGGCATAAGGATAAGCATCATAAAGGCCTAGAAATGGAAAATGCAATATTTTTTGAGGAGCAGCAGGCAGGCCATTCTGGCCTGAGAGTTTGTGGAGATGAATAATGTGTAAGAATGCTGGAAAGTTAGGAAAGAACCTAAGGAGTTTTGAATGCCATACAGAGATGTTTATATTGAATCTAAATGGAACGTGGTAAGTAGAAGAGTGACATGGTTTGACTTATGCTTTGGGAATATTATTTTAGTGACTGTGTTAAGGATAGATTGGAATGGAAACCAGGAAACCAATCAGGGGCTATTGTAACAGCTGAGGTATGAAGTAAAGATACTAGAATGTTATTCATCTAAGTGGAAAGGTAATGGAGAGGGAATATTATGATAGGTCCATAAGCATTGATTAAATGCTCACAAAGGAAAGTAATCCTTACCCTCAAAAAGTTCACATTCTAATAAGGGAGACAACATGTAAATAACTATGTAGATACAAGATACATATAGGGGCACTAGGAAAAGCCTCTTTCAGAAAGTGGAATTTGAGACTTGAAGGAAGCCAGAGACAAAGCACTCCTAATTAGTTAGAATCAGCAAGACTTGTTAATTGATCTACACAAGGAAGGGAAACAGAAGAGCTGAGGATAACATGAAAGTCAAAAACCAAAAACCCAAAAAACCCTAGACTAGCCTGTATTAAGTGAAACATAGTACCGCTGTGTCCAAAATAAGATATTCCACTCAGGTCAAACCACATATTGAGTAATGCGATGACAAGCCATAAAAAGGAAGAAGGGTTTATAAGGGGTTTATAAGAGCTGAAGAAACCAGCAAAAAGAAATATTAAGGGGGAAACATTACATTGGTTTTGAAATAATTAAAGGGTTATTTAAAGAAGGATTAGACGCATGCTGCTGAACTCCAGCAGGCAGAAAAGGAACAAAAGGTGGAAGTTAAACATGAGATAGTAGATTCCAGCTTGCTATAAGGAAGACTTTCCTAATTAATCGGAAGTATTAAAAATGGATAATTTGATGAGTTTTCCCATCAACAGTAGTCCTTAAGGGAAGCGAGGCATCCACCTGTCTAGACTGTGTAGAGAGGACTCATAGATCACATAGAGATTTAAACCAAAAGATCACACAGGGGTTGAAACCAATGGTTTCAACTATTAATACCCTACGATTCTGTGAAATCAAGTGTGCTTCGAAGGAGCAAATGCCTCTTTGATCTCCAGCTTGTACTTCTTGCACGAAAAGAGCTCCCAATCAGGCAGCCAGGGTCTTCAGAAGTTTGCCCCTATCTTACCCCAGCCCCACACATGTCAGAATATTTAGCCACTTATCTCCTGATTCTTTTTTCCAGGTTTTCCACATGTAGAAAGTAACAAGTTGATTAGGATCATGTGGATGGACCGCACTGTGCTGGGTAGTTTTACCATATTTGCTTCTAAAGGACAGCGAAAAAGAGAAAGGCTTCAGGAGCACTCAGCCAAATCAGGCATCAGATCCAGAGAGAATGTCATGGGTGAGGCTCCTGACAGAGAACTAATAAGGGTTAAGTACATCATATAAATTAATGATTTTCCATACACCATAAAAAATACACATTTCAGCTTTAAATTTTCAAACTATGAGATGTTGGTTATGATACAAAAATAATCAATGAGGAATTTTAATTTTTGCCTTTTAGTTCTTAAGTGAATATGAAGGAAAATGTACTAACAATATATAGAACTGTACCTATTGTACAAAATTGTACCTAATTATCAATTGCAATTCTCTTCCTCGAAATTCACTGGTCTTCAAATTAGAAGCCAATCAGCAATTATAAAGCATGCAATCATTACCTACTATAATCATCCTAAGAGTAATACAAACGATATAATAGTATAGACAGCATAATAATTACCTTAAAAGGACCAACTATATTTCCTGCAGTCCTACCTTTTCCTCTTGTTCTTCCCACTATTACTACTACCACCCAGACAGTTTTTTTTTTTGAGTTTTACATTAAAATTTCTAAGGAGAAAAAAGTATCTAACAAAAACTAAAAGGAGGAACTTTTACTTCATTGTTTTCTACTCAGTTGAATTTGAAAAGGAGATCAAATATAAAGTAAATTCTATTAGTGTATAATGACAGTTTTTCATTTTGGGATGGGTTTTTTTAACATAAGCCTATTCAGTAAATTACACTGGTACTAAGAATTTAGTAACTGTTTATCTCTTTTGAGGCTGGCCATACTATTTTATAAATAGCATTTGAATCATATTTTCCTAATATTTCTCTTAACAAAAACTAAAAGCTCATCTTTTTGTAATGAAACAATCTGCTGTAATCTAATTTGTGGGAAGATGAAGCAATTTCAATATAAGAGAAAATTCTCAATGTATATGTAGTTAGGCTTTGTTTTTTAATTCACAAAAGTTTTTTCCCTGTCTTAATTTTAAATAGAACCAGTTTTCTCTATTTTGTGCCCACAATCTCCAAACACCTGTGTTTTAACCCTATGATGAATTATCTTAAAATACTAGCAAACGGCTCATGTTTTCAGCTTACCTTTTTCTCTTCCTGTAGTACTATCACTTCATGATAACGTGGCAGAAAAGGACAACTCTTTAGTTTATCTTCTTTCTTGATATTAACATTCTCATAATGCAGTGTACTTTCCCTTGAGAGTTTAAAGAGAGATCCATGAGATTTTAATTTAAACATATGAACATCTAAATAACTGGAGTATCTTCTAAACATAATGTGTTGCCAACAACTATGTAATAATGAGAGAATCAAGAAATGGTAGGCTGTTACACTATAAATTTGTAGAACTCATTTTGTCCCTTGTTACAATTCTAATTTGTTGGGGGAATTTCCTCAATTCAGAACTCTGGATACATTGTTAGAATTTTTTTCTAATTATCTCAACATTAGAAGATTGGCCCCAGATTTTTTTTTCTTCTAGACATCATAACTCAAAAAGACAATTAAAATAGGAAGACAGCAATGTGCAGGTTCTTAAAGTATTCTAATGATCACTCTAAAAAGAAAAGAAAAGGAATCATTGGGCCACTAGACGAAATTTTATGTCCTGTATGAAATTAAAAGCCTATGAGAAATACAGCTTATTTATTTTACTTTCCTGTATGTAGCTTAAAACTGTACTAAGACTTTATAACACCCCAGATTTAAAACTCCAAAGCTAGCCACTAAGGTCTAAAGCAATCACATATTTCTTTTCTTTTCTTTTTGTTTTACCAAAGAGACTAATTATTTACCCACTGTCCCAGATTCCTAGAATTACTAGACCTAGTCCTACATCAGGTCTTCTAGACTTACAGTATTTCAACAATTGCTAGATCTATGTGGGATAACAACCTTCATAAAATTTAAATTTGAAAAGAAAAAGGAAAAGATTTAAGAGAAACTCTTAGAAATAATATGAAAACAAAAAAAAGTGACTGACCTATTTCCATTAGCTTTTTGATCCACTCTTATAAATGGCCTATTCTAATAAATAAAATAGGTGGGAATTATTTAAATAGCAGGATTAACATTCGAGAGGCTATATATTAGTAATAAAACTCATCTTTACCATCATGTAATCATTCCTTAAGCACTAGGACTTTCTTTTTTTTTCAATTTTATTAATTTATTGATTTATCAACAATCACTTCCATATGCTTTTGAGTTGAAAATTTTTCTACACCTTCCTCCCCCAACCCTCCCCAAGATGGCGCACAATCTGATATAGGCTTTACATTTACATTCCTATTAAACATATTTTCACATTAGTAAAGTTGTAAGTAAAAATTAAAACCAATAGAAGGAACCATCAGAAAGAGGAAACAAAACTCAACAGAAGGTAAAAATAAGTGATAGCGATTCGACTTCCATAGTTCTTTGTTTGGGTGTGGACAGCATTTTCCATCCCGAGGCCTCTGGAGATGTCTTAGATCCTTGTATTGCTGAGAAGGGTGCAGTTTAACAATATTAGTCATCGCATAACGTGGCTGTTACTATATACAAAGTCCTCTTGGTTCTGCTCACTTCACTCAGCATCAGACCATATAAGTCTTTTCAGGTTTTTCTGAAGTCAGCCTGTTCATCATTTCTTATAGCACAATAGTATTCCATTACATTCATATACCACAACTTGCTCAGCCATTCCCCAATTGATGGGCATCCTCTCAATTTCCAATTCTTTGCCACCACAAAAAGAGCTGCTATGAATATTTTGTACATGTGGGTCCTTTTCCCATTTGTTTGATCTCTTTGGGATATAGCCCTAGAAGTGCTATTGCTGGATCAAAGGGTATGCACATTTTTGTAGCCCTTTGGGCATAGTTCCAAATTGTTCTCCAAAATGGTTGGATCATTTCACAACTCCACCAACAATGTATTAGTGTTCCAATTTTCCCACATCTCTCCAACATTTATCATTTTCCTGTTTTGTCATGTTGGCCAATCTGATAGGTGTGATGTGGTACCTCAGAGTTGTTTTGATTTGCATTTCTCTATTCAATAATGATTTAGAGCATTTTTTCATATGACTATAGATGGCTTTAATTTCTTCATCTGAGAATGGTCTGTTCATATCCTTTGACCATTTATCAATTGGGGAATGGCTTGTGTTCTTATAAATTTGTCTTAATTCTCTATATATTTTAGAAATGAGGCCTTTATCAGAGAGACTGGTTGTAAAAATTCTTTCCCAATTTTCTACCTTCCTTCTAATCTTAGTTGCATTGGCTTTGTTTGTGCAAAAACTTTTCAATTTAATGTAATCAAAATTATCCATTTTGCTTTTCATAATGTTCTCTATCTCCTGTTTGGTCATGAATTCTTCTGTTCTCCATAGATCTGATAGGTAAACTATTCCTTGTTCTCCCAGTTTACTTATGGTATCAGCCTTTATATCTAAGTCATGAACCCATTTTGACTTTATTTTGGTATATGGTGTGAGATTTGGGTCTATGCCTAGTTTCTGCCATACTCTTTTCCAGTTTTCCCAGCAGTTTTTTTCAAAGAGTGGGTTCTTATCCCAGAAGCTGGGGTCTTTGGGTTTATCAAATAATAAGATTACTATAGTCATTGACTACTGTGTCTTGCATATTTAACCTATTCCACTGATCCACCTCCCTATTTCTTAGCCAGTACCAAGCAGTTTTGATGATTGCTGCTTTATAATACAATTTAAGATCTGGAATGGCTAGGCCACCTTGCCCTGCATTTCTTTTCATTAGTTCCTTTGATATTCTGGACCTTTTGTTTTTCCAAATGAATCTTGTTATTATTTTTTCTAACTCTATAAAATAATTTTTGGTAGTTTGATTGGTATGGCACTGAATAAGTAAATTAGCTTAGGTAGGATTGTCATTTTTATTATATTAGCTTGGCCTACCCATGAGCAACTGATGTTTTTCCAATTATTTAGATCTGATTTTATTTGTGTGAAAAGTGTTTTGTAATTGTGTTCATAGAAGCACTAGGACTTTCAAAGACTATACTATATCCATAGGATCACAGACTGGGAGTTAGAACAGCCCTCAAAGGCCACTTAGTTCATCCCTCTCATTTTTAGGAGGAAACTGAGGCCCACAGAGCATAAATGACCTTACTCAACACAACAAACCACCCCTGAAAACAAGGCAAGTTGTAAATGTATCACTGTACGTTTTTATCGTTATAATTCTAGAAGTCGGCATTATTTCGACAGGTCTTTAATACTACACCTAGCTGGTTTTCACTTTACTTCCTACAGACAGATACTTAGTTCTCAAGGTTACCCTACGTCATTTTGTCTCTGAGAGCCTGAGACTTCTCCCTTCTGCTCCACAGTGCCAAACCGCAGGTCTGAGCCTGTACTGTGTTTTCTAGGCTCAATTCCTGAGACAAGAAGTACCAAAAAGTAGAGAGATAAGAGATGACACACTCAAGGAAGCCACCTGAGGCAGACGCAAGGCTGACCACAGCAGGGTGGCAGAAGCAGACCTGGACGCCCAGGTCTGGAAGAGAAGCTGGAAGCCAAAGCAATGAAGACAATTACAGACGAAATATCACTAACACTCCCAGCAAGAAATGAGTGGGTAAGAAGCAAAGTACTGGGATACATCACTTGGGGAATGGCTGCACAAGCTGTGGCATATGATTGTGACTATGCTGTAAGACATTATGAAGGGGGAGGTTTCAGAAAAACCTGGTGAAACTTTTATGAACTGATGCAAAGTGAAATGAGCAGAACCAGAACTCTGTACATAGTAACAGCAATAGTGTAACAATGATCAATTGTGAATCAGTGACTCTGATCAATACAATGATCTATGTCAATTCCAAAGGTCTCATGATAAAAAATGTTGTCCATCTCCAAAGAGAGAACTGATGGACTCAAGAGTGCAGACTAAAACAAGTTTTTTCTAGCTTTTTTTTTAGAATATGCCTAATATGGAAATACATTTAGCATAACCTTGTATGTATAATAGCTATTGTAGTTCTTGCCTTCTCAACGGGTGGGAGAGAGGGCTGAGGAAGGAAAGAATTTGGAACTGAAAATTAAAATTACATTTTAAAGTGTCAGGATAAATGCAAATCCAATTTCCAGAGTGATACTGACTGGGCACAGGCTGGATAGCTAAGCAAAAAAGATCATAAATATTTCACCCTCAGAATTAAGGGCATAGTACAGGTATAGGAAATAGGCGTGGACATTTTTGTTGTTGTTCAGTCATTCAATCATGTATGACTCTAAAAGATCTCTGAAAAAAAAGCCTGACCCTGTTTCCATTTCTTCTCCCTCTATTGGCCAGGAAGTGATGGGACCAGTTGCCAAGAACTTTGTTTTTGGGATGCTAAGCCTCAAGCCAGCTTTTACACACTCTTCTTTCACCCTTCTAATTCCTCTTCACTTTCTGCCCTCAGAGTGATATCATCTACATATCTGACATTGCTGATCTTTCTCCCAGTGGTCTTAATTCTGGCTTTGGATTCACCCAAGCCTGGCATCTCTGCATATAGGTTAAATATATATGGCCTTGTTGTTCCCCAGGTGTTCCCTGTTCAATTCTAACTGTTGCTTCTTGGCCCATATACAGGCTCTTCAGGGGACAAGTCAGATGATCTGGTACTTTCATCTCTTTGAGGACTTGTCTCATTTTGTTGTGATCCACAAAGTCCAAGGCTTTAGTGTAGTCAGTAAAGCAGAAGTAGATGTTGTCCTGGAACTCCCTTGTTTTCTCCATAATACAGCAAATGTTGGCAATTTGGTCTCTAGTTCCCCTGCCTCTCTGAAAACCAGCCTGCACTTCTAGTAATTCTCAGTTTGCACACTGCTGCAGCCAAGCTTGCAGAATCTTAGGCATAGCCTTGCTGAAATGAATGCAGTTGTTTGGTAATTTAAACATTCCTTGGCATTACCCTTCTTCAGGATTGGGATATAAACTGATCTTTTCCAATCCAGTGGCCACTGGTGTGGCAAATGTTACAAATTTGCTGGTATATTGAGTGTAGCACTTTAATAGCATCTTCTTTTATTGTTAGCAATGCTTCCTAAGGCCCACTTGACTTCATTCTCCAAGATGTCTGGCTCTAGTTCAATAAACACACCATAGTGGTCATCAATGATGTTAAGATCATTCTTGTACAGTTCTATATATTCTTGCCACCCCTTCTTAATCTCTT